AGAGAGAGAGAGAGAGAGAGAGAGAGAGAGAGAGAGAGAGAGAGAGAAACTACAATATCCAGCCAGACAAATAGAGAACTAGGAAGAAGAAGTGGAGCATTAATAGACGCAGCACTAATGTGGGTTCATAAAGTGCAATGTGAGGAATAAAGGCAGAGATTACTGAAGAGCATTGTGAGAAGGGAACACAGAAAAAGACTAAAAGGTCAAAGAGGTTCAGATAAAGATTGAGTACAAAGTACTGATGATTTGAGCTGCTGGAAGTAAAGTCGGTGTCAATGCACCCTGAGGGGGAAAATACTGCGTCAATCCCTCCACTAGTTCAGAGATATCTACTCAAATCTCACGGTGGCATCTGAGGAAAAGTCGTGACCAAAGCCAGTAGGATTCATCCTCTGGGAACCATGAATGTGTGTGTGCGTCTGAGAGAGTTTAAGCCGCGTAGTCCGCTTAGCAGATCAGTCCACATTAGAATGAATTCTCTATTTAGTTTGGTTTCACAGCGAACACGTTAAACCAGAAGATATATTTATATGTTTTTAACGGATTAGGGGCGTGTAGCAAATGTATCTTCTTCGTCTTGAGAGCTGACGCTGCTATTTATTTGCTTTGAAGAACTGCTTCCGACGTGTTTTCCACTTTGACTCGGCTCTGATCTACCGAGCGCACTCACCCACTTCCAGTTCATCTCCAACGACTTTATGAACGTCTCTATTGTTGTGGACTTCCTTCAGCGTATTCTGAACGTTCCCAGATGTCAAGCAACCATCGGACTTCTGCAAAAGTCCAAGTCAGTCCTCTCCCACTCATGTTAACCTGCCGTTTACCCGCCTTTTGGTTCACTTCCCGCCATCGGGCCGGACTGGAACTACGGCTCGCTTTTTTCCGCACTAGAGTACGAATACTGCGTATTCGATTAAAGTGTCGGGGAAGTTGTAGGACTCGTTGTGTCCTCTGTCAAGGGAGAATTAAAAACACAACTTGACTCTGGAGGAACAAGCGGCAGCACGACTGAAGAAAAATAACAAACATTCCCAAAGAGGAGGAAGAAATGGAAGGGAATGATGCAGATTAGAGAAACATGAGAACAAACTGGATGAAGAGGAGAAACTTTTGGAAAAGCAAAAGAGAGGAAGAAGAAAGGATTTACTGACCTTGGACGGGACCCGTGCCGTCAGCAGAAAGGCTCGATGTGACGCCAGCGCCTGAGAACAGAGACGGAGACGTATTAAACATCTCACTTTAACATCCATCATAGATCCACCAGTAAATAATACGCATGTGTACGTGAGACGGAGAGGTCAGAAGGTCTCACATGCAAAAACAAAAAACAGAGAAGCTGCAGCTCGGCCTCCAGTGTTTTAGTGTACCTGAGTGGGATAACACCAAACATTATCTTTACATTATCTTTTAAGAAAGAGAGAGAGAGAGACAGTAGTGGGCAGGAGGCGGAGTCAGCTGTTGTAATTACAGAAACCCTCCGAAGAAGACGGAGGTCACTCCAGGTCACACAGCTCCTGGTCAGATGCCAGGTCAGCTCTGACTGACTTGAAATTCAGTTTGTAAAGTCTGGAAGCATCGTGGTCCAGGTGTTCTACAGATGTGAGTGCAGGTTGATCCGTGTGAGTGAGTCCACATATTGCAAAATAGAATACAGAGAAATCTGGACCAAGATGCTGCAAGTGTGTTTGATGTGCTGCAGATTATCTTGATCCGAGAGGTGTTAACGGCTGGAGGTCAGGTCTCCCTCTCCGCACCAGTTCTGTAAAATATTGGAGCCAGAAACAAACATTGTCATGACCCCAAATAGTTTATTTCCTAATGAAATGATGGGATTTGGGGGAAATCTGTATATCTGTAGGTGCGAGTCTGAATCTGCATCAGCTGATAATAAAACAGGAAGTGAAGATGCTCTTCTAATAAAGTAAACTAGAAACTTGTAAATATGTCTACATGCAAACTATGTTGTCACACTTTTAACTTCTCAGTCATTAGAAGCCATGTGCAGTACAATGCACACGCTCACTCTTCTTCATAGTTCACCACAGTGTTGATACGAGTGGTGTTCGTCTTAAGAGATGAAACCGTCAGACGCTTTAACATTTAATCCACCGACAGAAAATGAATAATAATCGTTAATAAAGTTTTTGTTTCCTCTGGTTCCAGCTTCTAATGTTCATCTGTTTTATTCATACAACTGTAAATTGAATGTCTTCAGACCGTTTGAGGGACTTAATTCAACTTGAACTCTGGAAAAATTGTGACATTTTCAGACATTTCACAAACCAAATAATGTTAAAACTAGCTTATAGTGTCCTTGGGTTTAGGTATGCACCCTAAACACCTCTGAGGGTTACAAATTTGAGACCGTAGCCTGAAAAAAAGGTTATTTGGTTCTTTTGTCTGCAGCTGTGAGCTTCATACAGCTGTGGTGGTGACCACTCGCATCAGAATGAGGCTGATAAATGATGACAGAAAGAGCCCCGGCATGATGAATCCTTATTCTTAATACTGCTTTTATGAACGTGGAAGAGTTGTGCTCATCTATTCAATTCTGTTTATATACTTTATACTTTACACTGACATTATGGAAGTTTTTACCAATGTTGTTGCTGAATTTAAAAGGTTTACTTGAATGTTCATTTTGAATAGTTTTTTTAAAAGGTTGCTGTTGTACGAATTACTATTTTAATGTCAAATAACAAATCAGGGAGTTTATATCTGTGTGTTTGGTACATTTTGTTTCACAAAGACAGTACAGCAACGTTTAAATGTTGAAGTCAGGCCTGATGTTGCCTTACACATGAATGATCTCAGTCACTTCCACACAGCGAGGCATTCAGCTTATTGATCCAACGCTGGTATCAGATCAATATCTGATAGACTCACTGCTTTACTCTTCTTTGAACCTGTTTGCTTTAAACAAATCTGCCCGACACACCAGCATGAAACATTTACTGTGTTTTGCCTCATTCTAAGAAAGTGATGGCAAAGGTTTCTGATCTGCTGGTCTACAGCTGTGGAATGTGGTGTGTGTGTGTGTGTGTGTGTGTGTGTGCGCGCGCTAACACCCTGTGCCTGTGGGTTGCTTCAGTCAAGTCCTGACAGGAGTTGCAGTCACATTCTGCAGCAGCATGTAGCCCAAAGGGAAGGAAATGTGAAGAAATATGGAATAAAAAACGTGTTTCTTTGTGCTTCCTGGGACGGTGGAGTGTAAACAGAAGGTCACAGGTTTGAAGACAGATGAGCTATGAACCTTTTGTTGAGAGTTTTTATTACTACACACAGAGAGAGCTGAGGTGCGTTCACAGTTACAGGAAATCAGACACCCTGCCACAGAAACACAGACTTCTTTCTCTGCGTTAAATAAAGTGGAAGAGATACACTCATACATTCAGTTCTATCTGTCACCTTTCTGTAATACATACTTATACTGTATATACTAATTATGCTTACTTATATAGACTGTTGATCTGACAGGATGACTGATTAATCACGTGACCCACATTCATTCATCACCAGCTGATACAGTGTGTTGGTCTGTTTGTTTTGTCGTTTATGATTCATAAACAGAAGATCGATGAAGTGGAAGCACCGACAGGAACAAACTGGAAGCTTCCAGATTCATTGTGAAAACCTCCGTCCACAAACTGTTTCAAGTTCTGCCTCTAATACTCCAGGTTTGGGCTGCACTCCCTGATTCAAACCAAGAGAAATCTTGATGATATTTAACAGTGTGCTCAGTGTCCCGTTTCAACACGACAGAGTCCTCGTGCATGAAGCTCCATAAAGAAATGGTTTTCCCAGTTGGGTGTGGAGGAACTTGACTGGTCTACGATGACCCCTGACCTCCACCCCATCCAACAGCTCTGGGATGAACTGTGAGTCACCGAACACCAGTGGGAAACCTTACTAACACGACAGTGAACACGCTGAGTGATTGTAAAGCTTTGCAGAGGAAAACAAGGACGCACTGACCCGACACTGACCATCACATGGTGACAGCAGCAGCAGCTCCTCTCAGACCGACTCATTCAGAATATTTAACAACCACGTGCAGCCTTTCTGCGGCTCGACCACAAACTCAGAGCTTAGCTCAACAGAAGTCACGGGCAACACGTCAGAACAAAAGAACGAGCCAAAGAAAGATCACATGGCAGCTCACTGGCCCAGAAAGGCTTCTTCATAGTCACAATCATCACAAACGTTGTTATGTTGTTATGAGAGCCAAAAACACCCGCAAATGATTCTTTACAATGTCAGAATTCAGAAGCTGGACGTCTCAAATATATATAGTATACAGTATATAACACCCATATAGTTAATTATAGGACGTCAGCTGGCTCAGCCAGAGAAGAACACTGATGCTGATTCTCTAAAGAGAGAAGAAGTCGCTTCATTTCTCATGGACCACCAGGGACGTTATTATGGAAACAATACATTCTGTAGACAGATAGGTTTTGGATCCTGTTTAAATTGCGCCATGAATTACACATATGATGTTTGTAAATTCAAAAAGATCATTTTGCACGTAAGGGAAGTTGCATTTTCTTCATAAAACGGTTACAGTATGAGACTGTAAAGTAGGACACTAAAAAGACTGCGCACCTAAAAGTTACGGAAATTTGCAATTCTCTGTGTATTTGAATTTGTCCCGACCAAACAAAGATGAGATGAAATGAAAGCTAGCTAGCCAAGGTAACGGCATGTTGGTGTTGGTGACGGCAGAGCTCACTGAGCGGTTTCACACTAAACTTGATATTAAGAGAAACTGTCTGGACTTTTAAACAGACAAACATAATCTGTGTAGTTCATGTCACAATGCAAACGGAGTAAACGCAGAATAAAACAGAGTGGGAGTGTCATCACAGGACCTGAAGAGATCATTCTGTTATTGACTCTGTTAGCGTTGAGACTCAGCAGCGATAACTCTCGAGGGTATTAAATATCATTATCTGCCTCAGAGAAGTATAATCTGTTCGGTGTCTTGTCGTCTGATAAACCTTCACTTCCTGGTTCATACTTTATCTCCTCACCTGTACTACCTGGAGCAACACCACCACAGGATCTATCCCCTTAAAAAGCAATAGAATCAATAATTCAAACAATAAATGAACAAAGTGACTAACTTTGCTGCGTTAGATGAGCGGCCTGTTTTCAGCATTTTGTGGCTCATGACAGTGATGAACTTTCAGGCAGCTCCTCTTATGATCTTCAGTCAATTGGTGCCAATCACACAAAGCATTTCAATGCCAAATACGTCCCGTCATTTAACCCTTTAATGGCTGAAATCACATTCAAACTCACACTGTATGTAGAAACAAAGTGAACATCTGCTCACTTACCAGCACTCTGTTCTCCAGCTTGTCACCTTTGACCTCCAGCTGGACTCTTTGTCTCAGGGTCAGCTTCACCCTGCGGCCCACCGCCTCCCGCATGCTCTCTGCAACACACAGTGGAACCAGGTTACAGGACACCTGAGCATTCAGACGCCACGGGGGGGGTCACATTACAACACATTACAACACACTACACAACGGGCACGGGAGCTTCAGAGGGAGACTTGATCGCCTGAAGGCCCGTTTCAGTCCCTGTTCAGCATTCACAGCCTGCTGGACCAGAAGTAGAACAGGCCACGCCTCTTATGCTGAGCACGGGTTCATTAAAGTGGGAATGATGCGGCGCGTCTTGTTGCCTTTAACTGGTAGCCACCATGCTGGAGCTCATGGTGCTTACAGAAGATCCTCAGCACGGTTTTAAAATGCAAAACAACAGGAATCAGATTCCATTATTAGTCAAAGAAAACAAACATAAACAGCGAGATGTGAGGGAAACCAAAGGATTATTAATGCACACAGATTCAGTTCTTCATCAGTTTGAGGGTTAGTGAGAAAACACCACAACGTCTGCTGTGATTTACAATCATTTAAGAGGAATAACAGTTTCAACCTGTGTTTATTTATCTCATCTTTTTCTCTGTCATGACCATAAAAATAAAACAACACTCACAGTAAGTTGATTATCTGGATAAATGTGAATATCGTCAAGAGTGACTTGAAAAAGCCGTCCAGCTCGCTCTCATGGTGGAGACGAAGAATCATCACGTAAGAAAGAACATTTATATATTTTAGATAAATGTGATTAAAAATGATGTTCAACATGAGAAGGTGAACACTGACGAGAACAGACAAAGACATGAGGATATGACCCAAAATACTAGATTTGTTCTCTTTTGATTGGTGATATTTATCTTATTGAAGGAAACACTAAAAGAAGCGCTTCATAACATTCCCACAGATAATTATTTACAGTATTTGTCTTTTATACTTTAACTTCTTTGGAGAAAACAACACGGAGAGATGGCAGCTTTGGTTCTGTGTGTTAGAAACCAGAACATTAGAAGTACGTCACTGAGAAGGAGACGCCGCGCTTTAGTGAGCCGTTTAGTCGGCGGCTTTCTATATTAACTTTAATTCAGCACCATCAGATGACAAAGAAGTTTTTTTCGTTCCTCGAGTGTCTGATGTGAATTGTTTTGGGTATTGAACATCTCAAATAAACACTGACTTGAACACTGGTGCTATTTGCTCAGAGCTCCACCACGGAGCAGGCTGTGGTTTCTGTATTACAGCCTCACTGTGGTTTAAAGTATAGTCTGCTGTCCCCGGTGTGTCTTCATGTTACAGACTCTTGTATTAGAGGAAATATTCTTCCACTCCAAGCAAACACATGAAGAGAAAACATTAAAAATGATGTGTTTTCTGTCCAGATTCTTTTGAATCTTTCTGATTTACTCTGAGCAGAAAGCCCTGTGGATTCACGGCGGCAACATTTTTCCCACAACTTCAGCAGCGATGGGAAAATCCAGGGACAGATGGAGGAAGAGGGGGAGGGGGAAGGAGGAGGATTGAGTAACAGTCTGAAAAAAAAACTGTAAAAAAAAGGAGGCAGAGGAGGAGAGACGGAAAGCAAGAAGACATTAAGATAATAAAAGGTTAAATGAGGGTCAAATATAGGAAGAAAGAGTGCGAGAGTGTGTGTGCATGAAAAACAAAGTGTGTTAATGAGTACGAGAGCTTGAGCCCGTCCCTCATGACATCATCCTCCTCTCTGTGCCCAGACACATGATGAGGTCATGAGGATGAAAACGTTACAGCAGCGAGCAGGCTGATCACAAACACATGGACGTCTCCATCCAGCTCACTCATACCAACACAAGGAGCTCCCAGCCGACCTGCAGCACGTTTATTAAATACACAAATGTCTGGCTGCTCCAACAATCCTGCAATCGGCAGGTTAAATGGACACTGAACAGAATGGTTGGCTGCAGCCCTGATTTAAAGATGTCCCTTTGGGCTCTTGGAGCTTGTGATTGGGACAAGTTGTTTATATCATTGATTGAGCCCCCCCCCCTCCCAGCCTTCATCACTTCTTCCTCCATCTTTGAAAAGCTGCTGATGAGCAGCGTCAGGTCCGTCTGCCCTGTTTTTATTCTAACCCAACAGCAGGAGACGCAAACAAAACGCTCCATTCATCAGAGAGCGGAGACACGTCGGGCTGCAGACAGCGTGTAACAGAGAGCACGGGGTCGGGGGTCGGGGGTCGGCCTCAGCGCTCAGTGCTGGTTTCAGGTTCAGGTTTGATTTCTAATGACAGTCATAGAAACACAACAGTCAGCGCTTTATTACCTCACTGCTGGGGAGGCCAAACCTCAGCCCGCTGTGGACAAATAAACTAGAACGCTTGAGCTTATTATAATAAATAGCACTGTGTGTACTCTCATCATAGTTTAAACACTAGATTCAGTGAAACGATCTCTGTCTTAACCTCTTTAACATTTCTTCCTGTTCCGTTTGTTACAGTACACCTGCAGGATTAACATCTTTGTATTTGCATCGTGATCTTTTAAAGGGATAAGATAAGAGAATCCTTTATTAGTCTCACAGCGGGGACATGTTGCAGGATTACAACAGAGAGGAGTAGAAAACAAAACAAGTACAGGAAATAATCAAACACTAAAAGGTATAGTACATAAGTAAATCATAAAACAAATACAATATAACCAGATTGAGTGGTTGGATATACTTTATATAAATGTATATTGCTCATACATACATTGATAAAGTGGGTTTAAAAACAATATTTGTCAACTTCTGCCTGCTTTAACTTCTATTTTTTCTTTTCTTTAGATTTACACACATCTTAAGTGAGCACTTAGGTCATGCTCTTATATTTAATTAATCTAAATTAAATGTAAGAGCAGCAGATGGTTTCTGGTCTAGTTCAAGCAGTGAAAGTTGAAAACTACGCGTTTACTATTGTTTGACCTGCGAGTTGTTATATTTGTCTGTTTATGGCACAAAATCTAACCCTCCCTTCCTGCCACTAGCCTGCTGTTATTTCTACAGTTTGGTCCATTAACACATTGAACTTTGACCAAACTATGAGGCGCACCCAGAGCCCAGAGCACCCTCCCCTGACTAACAGCACAATCAGCGGCATGCTTAACGTGAAGTCAGCAGCTCAGGCTGCTTCTCCCCAGCAGTCTGTACCCCCCCTCTTCCTTTTTGACATCCAGGCAGCCTGTGTTGATAATATCTCACAACCCAAAGGAATGTCACAGGACACGCCCCCTTCTCCCAAACCCCCCCCCCCCCCCCTCAGATGAGGAAGTGGAGAGAAACTCTCAGGTAGCCCTCAGGGCGTGAAAACTACTTTACACTGAGACACTGTGATACATGCAGTAGATGGTACATTAAACTTCACTATACTGCTCCCGTAGCGTGTCTGTGGAGGTTTGTTTTTAACTCTCTGGTAGTTGTGGAACCACTTTAACATTTCTACTTTATCCCCATTAGATTTAATCTGGTTTAATTAGTGATATCTCGTGATTTTATGGCATTTTAAAGTCCAATATATTGAAGTCAGTAAAAGTCATTGTTAGCTCCTAAATGATGCATAAAGCAGCTTTAATAATCATGCTTTAAAGTATAAACACATGTCTTATTTATGACTTTATATGGACTTTTCCTGACATATGAAAGTTAATTTATTATTAGTTGGCAGCAACAACTACGCTGAAGTGAAGCAAACGAGCGTTTTCTTACCGAACAGCTCGTTGGGAATGCCCTCCGACATTTCTTCTTTCTGTCGGGGTGAACCACCGAGGAGGGTCCGGTGAGGAGGGTCCGGTGAGGAGGGCAGGAGAAGCGGGCAGAACCCGAGAAGAGAAGCGGAGCTTTAACCGGAGGCAGCGGTACAAAAACAATAAACTCGGTGAAGGTGTAGTCCCGTTTTCTTTCACTCGGTCACCTGTCGACACCCTGCGTAACTGTTCCCGTCTGCATCCATGCCGACATGCCCGTACACGTACGCACACACGTTACGTTACTTCTGCGCTACACTGACTGGACGTGACAGGAAGGGGGTTCAGACTCTGTTTTCAGGATGAGACATGGATCCAAATGTGAAGACAGTCTGTGTGTGTGTGTGTGTGTGTGTGTGTGACTACACCGCAGTGATCCCTCCTCTCCTTCAGTTGTCCTGGGAAAAAAAGCGTTTTGCTGCTGAAGATTGTGGAACCGCGACACCTGGTGGTCGTTTGTGTTTACAGCGACTCATTTCATGGCGGTGGTGGGATGTGAGTCAAGTAGCTCAGCGGTCCCCAACCACCGGCCGCGGACCGGTACCGGACCGTGGGTCATTTGGTACCGGGCCGCACAGAAAGAATAAATATTATATTATTTCCGTTTTATTGATTATCAGTCTGAAAGAAGTTTTATTTTGAAAAATGACCGGATTCTCTCTCAATTGCATCCGCCTGTGTCTGTTGACGCATGTCATGACGCTCGTCTCGGTCACGTGATACGTTACCTCAAAAGTTAAGCCCGCAAACTAGCGAAAATGAGTAAATAACTTTTGGAGAGCTTCTTTGCAAAGAGGAAAGGCCACTGAGGAGACAGAAGAAGAGCTACAACTTCCAAGAACATGAAAGCTTCATTTAGCAGACTAGCAGGAGTCTGATTAGACATCAGGAGTGATTCTGACGCGCCAAACCCGCTCTGCAGAACATGTGTCCACAGAGGAAGATCAGCTGCTGGAGGTTGCGAATGACGGTGGCCTTAAAAGTATGTTTGAGACAACAACTCTGCTGGTGTTTAGGATTAAAATCACCACTAAAGCACTGAAAGCCTGCTTCCATTTCACACATCCTCTCTGTGAAGCGAGGTGTTCTGCAGTGACGGCAACCAAAACTAAATGACGGAGTAGACTGGACATCAGGAACACACTGCGGTGTCATTGTCTCCCGTTACCCCAGATGGGACCGTCTTGTTGCAGAGAAACAAGCTCAGGGCTGCACTGATTCAGCGTTATTGTGAGTTGTATTTATTTATGCATTTTATATTTGTTTTCATGCCGATCGTATCATTTTATTTCCTCGTGTTTTTCCGCCACACCTTGAAGGCCGGTCCGTGAAAATATTGTCTTACATGAAACCGGTCCGTGGCGCAAAAAAGGTTGGAGACCTCTGCTGACTGTGTTTTATTACATCTGAGGCCGTGAAACCTGAAAACCTGCTTCATGTCTCCTTTGTGTGATATCAAATGATAATCAAGACAATTACAAAATCAGCCTCCGACCACCTGAAGAACATATCAAGGATTAGAGGCAGTGGAGCTGGTGGAACATGTAGGGCTGTGCCACATCCAATCAATTTCAGCAAACATCCCAGAATGATTTAACGCAAAAACATACATGGATCAGGTTCAGTGTGTTGAAGTGATTCCATCACTAGATGGAGCCAAACAGCCATCAGCGTGTCTGGGAATTTACAGACAAAAAGTTGACCAGCAGCTGGTTCAATGGACCTACTCACAGCTACTATATATATATCTATATATATCTATCTATATCTATCTATATATATCTATCTATCTATCTATCTATCTATCTATCTATCTATCTATCTATCTATCTATCTATCTATCTATCTATCTATCTATCTATCTATCTATGTATGTATGTATGTATGTATCTGTAGATATGTGTATGTATGTATGTATATATACTTTCTGCAAACACTGCAATGCTTGATGTGTCCACTAGATGGCGCTCTAGAGGAATCTTGCAAATCTGGATTCTCTGGCATACGGGATCATTCTCAACCCCATGACTCATGATCTTTTATAAATATATTTATGTGATTTAAAACTGGCATATTTTCCCAGCTTGCAGAAAAATGGGAACTGGAAAGTTTGACCTGTTAATTACAAATACTGAATTAAAACATTTAGGAAGATTGAAGTTTAAATCTTGCTGGTGGGAGTTGATGATCTGTCCAAGGTGCTGAAACAAATGCAGATGATTTTTGCAGCTGTTTTTTTTTTTTTTTTGTTCCTCTGTTCCCCCCCTCGACATTCATCCCTTTATGACGTGACTCAGTGGGAGACCAGCAGAACATGTTTAGAGTTAGGCTGGTTAGCTGACGTCTTCTGACTGGTTTCAACCCAAAGTAGTGAAGATGCATTGATCTGGGTCGATATATTGACTGAATGATTCAAGCGAAAACATCGACGCATCATCTTTAAGTTACGCCTTTATTTTGAAATTCCCACCTCATCCAAGCATCCGTCCTTCATACAGGGCCCAGAAAGAAAATTGTCAAATCATATTTTCGTTGCTTTTTTGTGAGTTTATATAAATGTAATTGATTGTGTTATGATATGATATATTAATAGGGCTTTCTTAAACTTCCTTAATGTTGTCATCACTCCATGTGCATCACGAATCAAAGCCGGGCAGATTTGGGCTGCTTATGTGCCAAATTATGGGAAAATAAAGAATGGACGCGTCCTGAATAGATACACAACTAACAGACTCTGTGTTCTGGAGCTTCTTCGGTTAACCGCTGCCCATGTCGCCCAATTTGGCCGACTCTGTAATTTCCTACAAATGGTAAAACATTTGATCACATATCCGGTCTAATGGTTCCGTACTAAACGTTCCATATTCACAGTCACGGAGCGCCGCACACAGAACATCTTCAGTATATTCAATAATTCTGATGCGTCAGAGGGAATAGTACGAGGTGAATATTCCCAGACAAGAGAATTGTAATTGTATATAGTAATCAGAGGTTACTATCATAGTTGTGGCTTTACCCACAACGCATTACGTGGAAACTTCAGCTGCCTCTGATGTCATTCCAGACGAGTTTCTATTGGATTATTTGAATGATGAAGTTCCTCTCAAAACCATTTCTTCTGTTTAAGTAATAAAATGTAAACGGTCATCTGAGCAACAAACATGATGACCAGTTGTTCCCTGTGACCTGGCTCTGATGATCCCAACAGTCTCAAGACCTCATTGCCGTCATGACACCACAGTATGTCAGGAGGAAGCTGGACGCATGAGGATCTGTGTATGCAAAAAGTTGTGTAAACACAAAGGTTTGATGTGCATACCACCAAAATAAGAGGCAGCTCTTGTGCACAGATGAAGATATTCCAGGAGGAGGCACACGTGACTCCAGTATATCTCACAACAACTGCTAGGCATTAAAGAAATGCAGACAAATGCTTTCATATTCAACACGTTAGCATGTTTGTGATGGCACGGGCAGCTTTGTATAATAACAGACGCCTTGCTGGGCTGTGACTCGGGTAAAGGTGAAAGTGGAAAGATGACATAATGCTTGTTTAGTCTTCCTTTTATTACAAAATGAGTTGAAGTGAAACAAAACTGTGCAATGAAATAAAACGAGCCTGCTAGTTGCAGTGCCTGTTATTTATATTAAACGCATATTAGTTTGAAATGTATTGGAGTCCAAAGCTGCAGTTTCACTGTCTCTTCCTGTTCATAGAAACTGAACATTTATCTTCAGCGGTGAGAGTTCACTTTCCATTTGACTTGAAACATATTTGTGTTGCTGATAAATAGAGATAAGTTCCTCCCATCCTGACGAGCACAGTCTCTTCAACAACACAAACTGACTAATAACGCATATCTGAACGCACCTTCTGCGTCTGCATGTTGGTCATGCAGCTGTGAGAGCACACAGACGCATACAAAGACTAGAACAACAGCAGCACGCTGCAGAGAGAGGCAAAGAGTCTGGAATATGAAAGATGTTGATGAACATATATTATGTTTTCATCTGACAACTGCAGCTAGTTTCAGTTCTAGTTTACTAAAAGCTGAAGTCAAAGGACCGCCTCTTCTCACTCATAAGGAGACATCAGAGGAAGGCAGGTAGAAAGTTCTAGAGATCCGCATCTAAAGAATAAACTGAATGAGTTCCTCAAAAGGTTCCTACTCCCCGGGGAAAGTTACTGCGATCAAAAAGGGGCAACCGATCATAGAAACAGGGTATCATATTGACCCCTTTTGACCTTTTTAATCTGACAATGATCACCTGTTTCTTTAAGAACTCCAGACAAGATAAACACATTTAAAGCGTGACCGGCTTTCAGTCACTAGAATAATGCAGAATACAATTTGCCAACAATAGTCCAAATTTCAGTAATAACCTGTCGGTCCATGTGACTTAATATTCAAATGTCTTGTTTTAATTAAGTTTAAGAAAGAACTTGAACTTGAGTGAACCAGACGAACTAAGTCAAAAGCATCTTGTAAACATGTTGTGCAACTGATTCTACTGCCTGATGGGGCCTTCCATGTGTTTCCCAAACACCTACTTATAAGTCATTCAGGTCACAAGTCTGTCATGTTGTTATTGGGTGATTTAGGAATTCGCTGTGAACTGAAAGCACCAGGGATGGATGTTGAAAATGAAACCACTTTGCAGCTACATATTATTATATATTATTATAATTAGCCTCCCAGCTCAAGAGTAGCTTTGATCCAAATATAATTACCAACCACTAAGGACAATGATATTTTCATTCATGATCATCCATGACGTTGGGATGTTGGCAGCCGGGTGAACTGGTCTACCTAGACCTCTATCAGCTGGCATGACTTATGCATTCTTCAGGCAGCGTTTACACAAACGGAATGGGATCGATCGTACTTCACAAAGGCCTCAGTGTTGACGATGATTGATTCTTCACTGATGACGGAATTTATTTTTCCAACTGACTCTTTAAAAAGTCATCGGAGGAAGCGTCAATTAAACGTTCTTTTCTTTGAAACACCTTTTTGTGATTGTGACTCGGTCCTTCCAAACAAATGTTTGCAGACTACAAACGAGCCGAACCGAGGTCTCATCTGGACCAAGACCACCTCTTTAGTCAGACATGAAGGTTTCTGCTCTTGGGTCTGGACTGTGGTCTGAGGGAGGTTTCACAATTTGGGATTGGATCAAACTGAAAAGTCCGAAAGTCCGGAAACCACAAGGTACTGGTGCTGGAGCTCCCGTCTCCTACAAGCGGATTATTAGACAATGGGCTCCTAGTGAACGGCCCCGACATAAGAGCAAGACATCCAATCTGTAGTCGTTTTGCGTCTCATTTTGTGGTCGTCTTTTGCATTCGTGGTTGTTTTGTGTGGCCTTCAGTGACATTTTTCCT